CTGCCACGCCATGTGGTCACCTCCTGGGCAGGCGGGAATCAAACTCATGCGGAAGTGATTTCAGTTTCTTAGTGCTGTGCTTAACCCGCTGCGCCACCAGGGAGGACCTGCCTGCCTTGTTTTAAGAACAAGGAGAGGGGAGTAGGCACCATAGCAGATATGACCTGACCAGGACAGTGGACAGAGCCCTGGGGCTGGTTGCACTGTGAACTGGTGGCAGAGGGCTTTGGCCAGCGGAGGAAGATAAAGGGCCTCTTTACCCAGGGGTTAGTCCCGTGTAGGTTGGTGGGGACTTCTGCCTTCCCGTAGCTGTGGGTGGCCCAAGACAGCAAGAAAAGGGGGATGGGAGAAACAGGGACATTGCCATCCAGACAGTCAGCAGGGTGTTAGGGTAGGAGTGAGGGGAGGCAGGAGCCTGACTGGGGAAAGCGATGAGGAGGGCAGGGCAGGGCGAGGGCAGGGCCGGTGTTGGGGGAGTAGCATCCCCATTCTGAACTGGGCTCCTTTCTGGCCTGCAGGAAACCGCTGAGGAACGGGCTGGTGAAGGACAAGCTCTTTTGAACCCATCCACCCCCACCCGCACCCTCCTGAGTCCCGGATCAACCACGACACCCCCAAGGGCACCGGCCAAGACCTTCTCAAACCGGGAGCCAGGCCTAGGACACCTCAGTCCCTCGCGGGCTCTGATCTTCCCCTGTCACCTCTCCCCAGGCCCCGCCCTCGGGACCATTTCCCTGGGGCTTGAGGCCCGCGACCACGCCTCGGGAACCTGACCCTCCTACCCCGGCCCCACCCCCAGCCCGCAGGCCGAGGGTCCCCCGCGGCTCTTAAGCACTCATCCGGCCGCCTCCGGAGAGGAAGATGCCCCCGCCTGGCCGTGCTGGCCGCTGCGTCCTCCTCCTCCTGGCCTTGCTGCTGCCATTGGCGCCCCCGGCCCTTGCCCCGGCACCCCCAGGACCCGCCGCCGCCCTGCTCCAGGCTCTCGGGCTGCGCGACACACCCCGGGGTGCCCCCAAGCCCCGGCCGGTACCTCCCGTCATGTGGCGCCTGTTTCGCCGCCGGGACCCTCAGGAGGCCAGGGTGAGCCCGCGGCGGACCTCCCCAGGGGCCACCCTCCGACCATGCCACGTGGAAGAGCTGGGGGTCGCCGGAAACATCGTGCGCCACGTCCCGGACCGAGGTGAGTAGGATTGTGGATCCCGGAGGTCGAGACCCCGTTGGGCCCTGCATGGGGGAGACAGACCCACCCAATCTGCTCCACCGGCCGGTGCATCCGGCCCGTGCGCTAGCCCCTGTGCAACCTGGGTCTCAACTCTAAATTCGTTCCTGGAGTGGACACCTGCAGAACCTGGGAGTCATCCTAAGGCGGCAGCCCCTTTGCCTACTGCTGAAACTCTACCCCCACCCCCACCAGTTCACACCATTTGATGCCTTCCTGCAGATTCCACTCCCCCCCCAGCATCCTCCCCACGACCCCCAGGCTTTGGCTTAGGCTTTGGCTCACCTCTTCCTCTCTTATATGTCCCCAACCTTCTGGGCAAGGGCCTCTTCGGAAGCGATTCCCTACCCCCACTCCATCTCTCTCATCCCGTGCTTCACACCATTTGATGCCTTCTAACAGATGGTGCACCCGCTTCCCTCACCCCCGACTCCTGTCCTCTGGCGTCCAGACTCAGCGCCATGTGGGAAGCCGGGCGAGACGAGTTCTCTCCCTGCCTCCCCAGGTGTGGCCGCTCGGCCCCCCAAACCCGCCCCGGCCTTGGGGCAGTGTCCCGAATGGACCGTCATCTTCGACCTGTCAGCTGTGGAACCCGCGGAGCGCGCAAGCCGGGCGCGTCTGGAACTGCGCTTTGCAGCGGCGGAAACAGAGCTGTCGGGCGGCTGGGAGTTAAGCGTGGCGCGGGCGGGGGAGGCCACCGGAGCAGGCCCCCGGCCCGTGCTCCTCCGCCAGGCTGTGGACGCGCTGGGGCCACCCGTGCGCACCGAATTGCTAGGCGCCGCCTGGGCCCTCAACGCCTCGGCACCGAGCAGCCTTCGCCTAACGCTGGCGCTGCAGCCCCGGACTCCAGCCGCCTGTGCACGGCTGGTTGAGGCGTCTCTACTGCTGGTGACCCTGGATCCCCGCCTGTGCCATCCACTGGCTCGACCTCGGCGCCAGGCCGAGCCCGCGGTAGGCGGTGGCCCCGCGGGTGTGTGTCGCGCTAGGCGGCTCTATGTGAGCTTCCGTGAGGTGGGCTGGCACCGCTGGGTCATCGCGCCACGTGGCTTCCTGGCCAACTACTGCCAGGGCCAGTGCACACTGCCAGCAGTGCTGCCCGGGCCTGATGGGCCTCCCCCGCTCAACCATGCAGTGCTGCGCGCCCTTATGCACGCGGCTGCCCCGGGGGCCCATGACCTGCCCTGCTGTGTGCCCGCACGTCTGTCACCCATCTCCGTGCTCTTCTTTGACAACAGCGACAATGTGGTGCTGCGGCACTATGAAGATATGGTGGTGGATGAGTGTGGTTGCCGCTGAGCTGCAAGGGTCAGACCCAAAATAAACAGCCTGGTCTGTGTCTAGCCTCTTTGGATATTGTCACCTGGGTGTGGGTGGAAGGGGCTACCTCCACCATGGGGTGCCAGCCCTCCAAATGACACACTGTCCACCCCACCAAGGTTGAGCACCTACAACCCATCTCCAGGTCTCCCCATACCCAACACAGGGGACTTTAGCTGCCTCTACCCAACCCCTCCCCCAGTCCCTCTGACTCATCCCTGTTATCCAAGGGATCCCAAGTCCCACTCTCAGCAACCCAGCCACCTCCTGTCATTTATCCAGCCCCAGTGTCAATGCAAGTGCTGTTTATTAAGATTTTATTGGTGACAAAAGAGCTTAAAACAAATTGACCAAAAATCAAGTTACATTGCCTTGGTACAGATGCTCCTCGATTCAGAAACTTAAAGAGAGTACCTGCTGCTAGGAAGGTGGACAGGCAATCGGCGTAAGGCGAGGCAAAGCATTCCAAGGAACAGGGCAGGGGCACAAGGAGCGCCCACAGGTGCATGGCACAAGTGTCACAGCAGAAACTTACCACACTCTGTGCCTCTATGCAGCCTACCAAACTGCCACAGCCCTACAGTGATGGCATCATCCCAGCCAGAAGGAAGATGGCTGTGTCCCACCTGCCCAGGTACAAGCTGGGCTTTGAAGGTTTTGGGGTAAGGGACAGTGTCAGCCACAAGGGGAGGGGAGGGGAGGGGAGATGCAGGGTCATTGTCCCAACCAGGTAGTCGTCAGGGAGAAAGAAGCGTGGTGTAGCCACCACAACCAGACCCTCAGATGCCCGGGCCTAGCTGGTGCCACCAATTCAAGTTCCTCCTGCACAGAAGCAACTCATTCCTGAAGCATTCCTTTCCCCAAAAAGCCAGCAACTGCCCCTCATGAAAGTCATGTCCAGTCCGCAGGCAGAGGGGTCCAGACTTGGGGGACAGGTAGGGTGAACAGGAGTGGGGGGCACTTGGGGTATCTTGGTGTCCACCAAACTGTGGCACCTCCCCAGGGACAGCCCTCTTGGTGGCTGCTTTCTGCTGAATCCTTGGGGAGGACCCTGGAGAAGTGGCCTCCCGCCCTCTGGCCTCACAGCCAGTCCTGCCTGGGCCTCCCAGGGTTGAGTCCACCGCGTGTAGGAAGCGCTTTGCTTCGCAGAGTCCAGTGGAGGCCTGAAGCCATGGTCGGAGTGGGCTCCTTCAGTGCCCTGACACACAGGGAGAAGCTGCTGGAAGCTAAAACAAACTAAAATCCTCCTCAGATCGCCTCACACGTGTTGATCCTAATCTCAGGCTGTGTTGGCGTGTTTAAACTTCATTTCTGGAAGCCTCTTGCATCTCCCAGGTCCACCACTAAGATTTGAGAGACAAACTCAGGAAAGTATATTTCAGTACTCCTTTGAAAGAATCTTAAAAAAAAAAAAAAAAAACAAAAAAAGCCCAAACACCGTATTTTCTTTAA